TAGTCAAATATTGTTGATGTCAATCCATAGTTACTAATAAAACATAAACAAAGACCTCACATGCTATATAGATCGCAATAATGATAGACAAAACAATATATACAATATACATTAACTTTTTCAGGTGGATCGCTTAGAATAAATGTGTATGTCTCGTAGGCTGAAATCTTGCAGAGCTGCTCGTAGGCAGAGACAGAAAACTATATGAATATTGAATAAAACAGTCTTATATTATATCTCATAATATTGAAAATACTCTTGTTATGTTATTATCAAGTTATTTTGAAATGATAATGACTGACAATTATAACATTATAATATACAATTAAATTAAAATTAAATATTACAATCAAATTATACATGTGTTTTCGTTATCCTTACAAAACCAGTTTAAAACATCTTCACCATCATCACCATCATTACAGCTCGTCATAAGTCCACTGCTGAACATAGGCCTCCCCCAAGGAATGCCACAAAGCACGGTCCTGAGCCACCTGCATCTATCGACTTCCTGCATGTCTCAACAGGTCGTCACTCCATCTAGTGAGGGGACGCCCTACACTTCGCCTACCGGTACGAGGCTGCCACTCGAGAACCCTTCTTCCCCATCGGTTGCCGGTTTTTCGAGCTATATGAGCGGCCCACTGCCACTTCAGCTTACTAATTTGTTGGGCTATGTCGGTTACTCCGGTTCTACTGCGGATATCCTCATTTTTAAGTTTATCACGCAGAGAGACCCCCAAGCATAGCCCTCTCCATAGCTCGCTGAGCGACCTTGAGCTTCCTTATACGGCCAGTAGTGAAGGACCACGTCTCAGATCCGTAAGTCATCACTGGCAACACGCACTGATTGTACAATTTCGTTTTCAGGCTTTGAGGTATGTCTAACGAGAAGATGTGTCGTAGTTTCCCGAACGCTGCCCAGCCGAGTTGCATCCGTCGATTGACCTCTCGTTCGAAGTTGAACTTACCTAGTCGGACTATTTGTCCCAGGTAAACATACTTGTCAACAACTTCGAGCTTAGTGCTCCCAACAACTACCGGCATAGGTGTAACATGGACGTTAAACATGATTTTTGTTTTGTCCATGTTCATCTTAAGACCTATCCGTTGGGAGACACTATTGAGGTCATTGAGCATAGTGCTTAGGTCGTCCAGCGATTCTGCCATAAGGACTATATCGTCGGCAAATCGAAGGTGAGTGATGTACTCGCCATTGATGTTAATACCGTATCCTTTCCAGTCCAGTAGCTTGAAAACGTCTTCCAATGCAGCGGTGAAGAGTTTCGGGGATATAACCACCTCTTTGCAGTTGGATAGGTTACGTACTCTGATTCTGTACTCGGATAGCCATCGTAGCTCTACTGTACAAACACTTCAGCACTTCGATATACCGACATTCAGTTTGGCACCGCTGAAAGGACTGCAGCTCCGCCCAAATTTCGACAGAATCAAAGGCTTTCTCATAGTCCACATACGCAAGGTAAAACATCTTACTTCATATTTATCAGTGTGTAATAACATAGTTAAGCATGATATTACCCAGTCATGTTGGCTTTAATGGTATTTGGGGTATGATAACCAATCAATTAATATATTTTAAAACAAAGTTTACACATTGCACCTTAACTGATTCAACTAAAACACGATTAAAATCTTGACACCGCACCTGTCCGTCTGTTCCACTATTAATAGACTGCTTTGGAAATAATTACAACAATAAATGCAGTGGCATTTTACTTTTTGTTTTAGCCTTATACAACCAGTTTAAAACATCTTTCTTACTAAATAGCATGTAAAGGTAATATTATAAATGGACATATTATCAGTTATTTATCTTGTCTTTAATCATATTAATTTAATGTATATGTGTGTTGTAATAGTGTTTGTGATATATATTCACTAATCAATTAATACATGTAAAAAATTTGTTTTGCTGGAAGTGCTAAAAGCATTTTCCATCAATATAAAAGTACCTATAATTGCTGAATGTACCTACAACTTTGTTTAACACTGTTAATTATTAAGCTATTATATTCTATATACACTATTCTGACTCATAATATTGGTGAAAACAACTAGAAAATCGCTTTTTGTTTGTTTTAACGTTATTGTGATGTTCATATTTAATTCTTTATTTCTCAGAATTCTAAGAGAGGCTTAAGAGGCTTTTTCTAAATGCACATTCATGACTTTGTGTTGCTGGCACAGATTTAACCTAGTAAATTACACATATAGTTCTCGGTCTTGAAGATCTCATCATATCGAAACATAGGAAAATTAATATCAACCATAATTAATAGGTTGGCTTTCAATGCTATAGGTTCTATAGTATAGGATCTACCGTTAGAAAGAAGTTTTCAGGTACACTAGCTTCTAAGTTTTGTTGAATTTGTTCCACCTCTCTCAAAAAGAAATTATAAAATTAAACTGACATTTTACACCTTTGTCCACTGATGAGATAATCGATATTAGCAAAACAAAGTTAGTATGTCTATGACTTGCGTCGAAATAAAATCAATTTTCACATGCTCAATCAATACCCGTTGGGTACCTACTGTTCTTCTGTGCTTTCTCAGAGCAGGGTATTGATGCACTGTAATAAATAAAGTCTTTTTTAATTGTTTACATAGACTTATTTAAATAACTTAGAAACATCTTCGGCTACAATAATGGTCGTACTGTACGCTTATACTATTATAAAACCTTCATAGAAATACATTTCCTGAAACAATAATGGTCGAACTGATTTAATTAGAATATGTTACTGTGGTCACTAGATTTTTTTTTGTTTTTGTTTCCCATCCACTATGTTATTACTACTTTATTAAACACCCCTTATAAGTGCACTATTGGACGCACAGATATGCACATAAAACTATGTAAGTGGTTGCAAATGATATTAGATTAATAAGTACTTGTGTGCCTGCTTATCAAACTTATCAATAAAAAATTATGTACCTCCGTGTACTTCTAAATACTGACTTTCTTATAGAGTTACAGAATTACATATGTAATGAAATGAATGACATTTCATTAATTTGAATTTGCTGCGCTTCGCGTATCTGTGTTGTCTGTGGAAGATGGTAGAGGGCTCATCGAAGTGACGTGTGAACTATGATTTAATGGCGGATGACGTTTAGATTATTTTGTGCATTTTATTGTTATGTAAACTTGTAGAGAGATAAACTGAAGGATACGATTGAGGAATCGATATTACTAAACTTTAAATGTCGTTTCATTGTATTTTCAGGTGAGATAGAAGTGTAATTGTCATGATAATTGTTGTAATATGGTAAAGGCGTGTTAAATAAAACAAAACTTTGTATTTTCAGAGAAACAATTTGTGGTTTATTTTGAATATCCTCAATAATATACCTTATAAAACGACATTTTTGTTAACTAAGAGAAGATGGACCGGCTCCAATTTGAGTTTACGATGATAGCCTCAAATGATGGCAAATCGAATGTACTAGCTATTACCTCAATATCTACAGAAGAAGGAAAATGTTATGTTTTACCCGAGGAGCTGAAGCCGGTGAGTCATCATACATATATTGTTAAAATGAACACTTTCACAAAAGTAAAAAATAGCATAAAGAAAAGACACCAAAGTAGAAAAGTATGGATAAAATTGGATAAAAATCTAAAGAAGACATGTGTAGATGAGGAAGGTAATATGCAATTTTTAGATCAATATTTAGACGAAATAAGCACAAAACAAGAAAGAGACAAAGATGACAGTTTGCAACATATCTTGGAATAATTAATAGAAACTACAACTAAGAAAGAAAGTCAACATAACTTAAAACATATTTCAGAAAAATTTATTATTGAAAAATTCACAAGCAAGAATCCTAATGAGATGCAATGGATAGAGATTTTTGAAAAAGAGTGTACGCGCTTCAATATAACAAAAGATGAAACAAAAATAGATATATTGAGGTTATTTTAAGATAAACCTTGTTTGGATTGGTATAGCTCGATGATCATAAAACTCACAGTTAATTCTGAATGGAGTGAATGGAAAAACAAATTTTTAGAAACTTTTAAAAACCGGGGATGGGACATAGTCACATATGCCCTCGCATTTAGGTATAAAGAAGGACTGTTAATTGATTATGCCATAAAAAAAGAACGACTTATATTAGATATAAACAAATCTATAGATTCCAAAACAATGATAGATCTTATTGCTACTGGTTTACCTGGATTTATCTTAAATAAGTTAAACAGGGACGAACTCAACAACACTACTGATTTGTTCAACGAGATAAGAAAATATGAAGGTATGATGTACAAAAAAACTCAACTAACATAAAGAGTGGTATATTTTATAATAAAAATAAAAATAATGAGAAGAAGCCATGTAAGACTTGTGAATCTTTGGACAAAGGAATTAGATATCATCCGGAGGAGTCATGTTGGTTCAAGAAAAATAAAAATGAACTTGAAAAGGTTCTTAAAACTAAAGATGTAAATAATAATTCCATCATTGAAGTAGACATAAATGCTGGTAAAAAAAACTAGTAAGTACACCATTAATCAAAATCAAGCTTTTATTAGAAAATAAACTAGAAGTGAGCGGCATTTATGATTCAGGCTCACAGATCTCTTTAATAAATTCAAGATTGATAAAAGTAAAAGAAAAAAAAGATGATGTGAATATAGCATACATGAAAACGGTTAATGGTGTGAAGAAGACGGATGGCTTGATAACAATAAAAATAAAAATATTTGATTTGGAAGAAGAGGTGGATGTGTACATAGTAGAAAATGAAGATTTTGAAGATTTCATAATCGGATTGGATATGATAAAGAAAACTCAAAATGAGAACTTGCAGATAGAACAAAAGAAAATAACAAATAATATAGACAGAATGTCTAAAGATAACAGAAATGATTATAATAATTTAATAAGAATATAAAAACATATACAGTAAATTTTAATGAACACATAGAAACAAAGAAATTTATAAGTATGGCAGACCGTTTAGATAATGAAAAAAAAAATTGAAATAGAGAAAATTATAAAGGAATATAGAACAATATTTGCTAAAGACAAGTATGATATAGAATCAGTTAGGAATTATGAAGCTCACATAGATTTACTAGTAAATAAATATTGTAGTAAAAGACTATACAGATGTACAATACAAGATAAATTAGAAATTGAAGAGCAAATATCCATGTTATTAAAGAATAATTTAATAGAAGAATCTACCAGTCCTTTCGCTGCTCCAGTGACATTGGCATTTAAAAAAGGTGAAAATAGAAAATCCCGTTTATGTGTAGATTTCAGAGAATTGAACAAAATTGTTCTACCACAAGCTCAACCTTTTCCTTTGATAGATGATCTAATTATTAAAACTAGAAATTGCAAGTATTTTACTACACTGGATATAAACTCAGCATTTTGGGCAATACCATTACGGGTAGAAGACAGAAGTAAAACAGGATTTGTCACACAAAATGGCCACTTCCAGTGGTCCTGCCTCCCATTTGGCTTGAAAACATCACCAGCAATTTTCCAGAGAATTTTAAGCAATATTCTAAGAAAACACAATCTCACAGGATACTCTGTAAACTATATTGACGATATTTTGATATACTCGTCTACCTTTGAAGAACATACGAGTATAAGGCACATAAGAAATGTATTAGAGGCAATAATTAAAGAAGGCTTTAGATTGAAGTTTAAGAAATGTACCTTTGCTTCGGACTCGGTAAAATACCTCGGCCATATTATTCAGAACAATTCAGTAAGACCACTAAAAGACAATTTGATTTCAATAAGGGATTTTCCAACTCCTAAGATGCAAAAGAACATCAGACAATTTTTGGGAAAAATAAACTTCTACCATGAATACATACCAAAAAGTGCAATTATCCTAGATCCATTACATAATTTATTTAGAAAAAACGAGAAGTTTGTATGGTCAGAGAAGTGTGAAGAATCATTTAATCAGATAAAAAGATATTTATGTTCTCAACCGGTCTTGGAAATATTCGACAAAGACTTACCAATCAAAATCTATACCGATGCATCTTTGGAGGGCATTGGAGCAATATTAAAACAAACACAACTAGATGATAATGACAAACCGGTGGCATATTTCTCAAAAAAACTGAACGAACATCAAAAACGGAAAAAAGCTATATATTTAGAATGTCTTGCTATGAAAGAAGCCATTAAATATTGGCAGCACTGGCTCATTGGAAAACAATTCACTATTTACTCAGACCACAAACTTCTAGAGAACATGAACATTAAATGCAGGACAGATGAAGAATTGGGTGATCTCACATATTACCTACCTCAGTATGACTTCACAGTAAAATATATACCTGGTAAAGAAAATGTAGAAGCAGACTGTTTGAGCCGAAATCCTGTACTAGAATCAGAAAATAACAGAGAGGAAATTTTGAGAATAGTTAATGTAATACAAATAAAAGATATAGTTGAAGACCAGGAGAAAAATGAAACAATAAAAGAACAGAAACAAAATTTAATATACAAAAATAAAATCTATTATAAAAAAATAAAGAAACAGGAAAAGATTATCCTCTCAGAAGAATTTAGTAAGAAACTTATAAAAAAGGTGCATGAAAATTTTTGCCATATTGGGATCAGACAATTGCAGAAGAAAATAAGTCCTATATATACAGCTATAAACCTAACAAAAAATATTATACATACTTGTAAAACATGTGAAATATGCATTAAAAATAAATCAAGATGTCAAAAAAAATTGGATTAATGTCACAACTGGGGCCAGCTACAAAACCATTTGAGATAATGTCAATGGATACTATTGGTGGCTTTGGAGGATCTAGATCTACAAAGAAATACCTACATCTTTTAGTAGACCACTACACAAGATATGCATTTATTGCGACTTCAAAAACTCAGAATGCAAGTTACTTTATAAATCTAACAAAGAAAGTACTAGAGACAGATGAGATTGGAATTATCCTGACAGATCAATATTCGGGCATTAATTCAAGAGAATTTAAACAATATTTGCAGGAGAATAATATTAAACTAATTTTTACAGCTGTGAATACACCATTCTCAAACGGCTTGAATGAACGACTAAATCAAACAATAGTAAATAAAATAAGGTGTAAAATGAATGAGAAAAATAATAAGAGAACATGGGCAACACTAGCAAGAGAATGTATACAGAAATATAATGAAACAGAACACTCCGTTACAGGTTTTGCACCAAAATATTTACTGGATGGTACAAATGAAATGAAAACTTTGTATTTTCAGAGAAACAATTTGTGGTTTATTTTGAATATCCTCAATAATATACCTTATACATATATATCAACCGATACATAGATATATAATTATATCGAGTCAATAAGTCTAGCGTATGTGGACTATGAGAAAGCCTTTGATTCCGACGAAATTTCGTTCGTCGTCGAAAAATTGGTGCTGCACCCCATTTGTTTCCGTCGAAATTTGGGTGGTGCTGCAGTCCCTTTGGAGGTGCCTAGTTGACTGTCGGTATATCGAAGTGCTGAATTGTTTGTACAGTAGAGTTACGATGGCTATCCGTGTACAGATCAGAGTACAAAACCAATCCAACTGCAGAGAGGTGTAAGAAAAGGTGACGTTATAACCCCGAAACTCTTCACCGTTGCATTGGAAGGCGTTTTCAAGCTACTGGACTGGAAAGGATGCGGTATTAACATAAATGGCGAGTACATCACTCACCTTCGATTTACCGACGATATAGTCCTTATTCCAGAATCGCTAGAGGACCTAAGCACTATGCTCAATGACCTCAATAGTGTTTCCCAACGGATAGGTCTTAAGATGAACATGGACAAAACAAAGATCATGTTAAATGTCCATGTCACATCTATCCCGGTAGTTGTTCGGAGCACTAAGCTCGAAGTTGTTGACTAGTATGTTTACTTGGGACAAATAGTCCGACTAGGTAAGTCCAACTTCGAACGAGAGGTCAATCGACGGATTCAACTCGGCTGGGCAGCGTTCGGGAAATTACGGCAAATCTTCTCGTCATGTATACCTCAAAACTTGAAAACGAGTTTGTACAACCAGTGCGTTTCTCTGCGTGATAAACTTAGAAAAGAGGATATCCACAGTAGAACCAGAGTGGCCGCCATAGCCCAACAGATTAGTAAGCTGAAGTGGCAATGAGCCGGCCATATGGCTCGAAGAACCAACAACCAATGCGGAAGAAAGGTTCTCAAGTGGCAACCTCGTACCGGCGGACGAAGTGTAGGGCGTCCCCCCACTAAATGGATTGACGACCTGGTAAAACAAGCAGGAAGTTGATGGATGCAGGTGGCTCAGGACCGTGTTTTGTGGCATTCCTTGGGGGAGGCCTTTGTTCAGCAGTGGACTTGTGAAGGGCTGTAATGATGAAGAGTGGTATTACCCGAGCCTAGTAAAAGCCCCATCTCTAATCTATTTACTGATATGTCTCTATAATCTATGTTACGGCCTACAGCTACCCCTGCAAATATCGAATATCCCGGGGCCCATGAGGGGAAGATTCAACGAGCAGCCGTAGGTCGGGCCCAAATGGCCACATGGAAAAATGTGCTATCATACTAAACTATAAGGAAAAATGCTAGTAAATTATAGTACGTAACTGTTTCCGAATCTAAAATCGCCCCAAGTCTAGGTCAGGCCGTAGGTGGGTGCGAGGTGCATGTCAAGTAGTGTTTAGTGACGTGTATGTGTGTGTGACCTGGCCCAGCTGAGGTGACCAGCTGCGGCCGAGTTCCAGGCTGCCCCACAATGCTGCATCGCTCCAGCAGGCTTCACCGCTGGACCATTTCTTTCTTCATTGTCACTATTTCAGTCTATTAACTTTATTGTACATTCAGCTAGCTTGAACTCGACTAATACAACGTTCATCGTAGAATCGAACACGTGATACCCGACACAGTAACGGACAGTAGTTCAAAGTTCAACATTCAATGTCCCGGATTCATTTATCATCAAATTACGAATAGTGAACTAACGCGATCTCTTCATGAGTCACCCGGTTCAGCGTTATAAACACTACTAAATTCCTTCGTTCGATATCAAATACTATGCCGCGATAAGAATTCAAAATACGCCTCGTTGACACGTAAAGCTATCAAAACAGGCAACACACATAAAAGGACACTTAACGCGACGGCACAATTACTTTCAAAGAAGTTACTTTAATCAGTTAAACACAATACAAGCCTCTTGTCAAGAACTTAAACCCTAGACAACAGATAACGAGGCGGTTTTCACGAAACATGATTACGTAGCTAAGTCACGCGCACAATTTCCAAAATTCTAGACCCTAATCCCAAAAAAAACCGGTCTCGCGAAAACTCAGCGGCGGGCATCGAAAGACACTAATTAATTGCCCAGCTACTATCAACTCACCCAAGAGCGTCACACGCTGGGAAGCTGCCTACTGCTGCCCCCTCCCGGCATTAATTCTAAAATTCAGTTCACAATGGAGTTAGAGGCAAGCAATTCTTTAGCTTTTGTAGATTTAACAGTGGTAGAGGCACGCGGCAGCTTTTGCTGTAGCACGGATGGGCCGGCTCGAACCGGGGTGGTACCACGACCTCACAGAAAACCAGCGTGAAGTAGAGGTTTACCTCTGCGTTTCGCTTGGTGAGTGCAGGTGGCTGGAGGCCCTTTTTACTGGAAATGAGGCATTCCATCTTAATCCTCACGGGTGACAACGCATCTACATTTTTATTTGTAATAGAGGATAGATGTAGATGTCTATGGGCCGCAGCAACCACTTACCATCAGGTGAACTGTGTGCTCGTTTGTCACCCTTATACTATAAAAAAAAGATGTGTTAGTAATTCTGAATCCTGATAACACCTTGAGCCACACTGTGTATAGAAAAAAGACCCATACAGATATATATTTAAACGGTGATTCTCATCACCAACCTTCACAGTTAGCCACCGTGGGTAAATCTTTGTTTCAGAGAGCACGAGGGATCTGTGACAGGAAACACCTGGCTGCCGAGCTCCAACACGTAAAGCAAGTTTTGCACGACAAGAAACTTCGGGTCCCGCGCCTACGTCACAGTGAACGAGTGAAGCCGGCCACAGTCGAGCGAGTGCCTGCTGTACTGCTATATGTCAGAGGTGTCACTGACCATATTGGCTACATCTTAAAGCGTACTTCCATTAAAATATACTTCAAGCTGCCGAAGAAGATTAGTCAGTTTTTACCATCAGTCAAATTTAATGTCCCTCTGCAAGATGCAGGAGTGTACAAGCTTGATTGTAAATGTGGTCTATCTTATATAGGACAACCTAAAAGATCTGTGAACACGTACAGGATCGCCGACGTCACTACATTAGATTTGATAGACCACAAATTCTCTCTAAAGAACACCGATTCCTTCCAAGGATGATTCGCGAGGCTATTGAAATCAAAAAGTAAGGTGAAAGTAAAGTTGCAGCCTATTTAAGTCCACTGATGGGCACAAGCTTCCTCTCACTTTTGAGAGGGTTTTAAGGCAACGAAATATCCGCCACGCTGACTCTATGTATGTTGGCGAACTTCACATATCTTCGAAATATTTTTTTCTTGTTTTTCAGGCATGCAGGTTTGCTCACGATGCTTTCCTTTCCCGCCGAGCACGTGGTAAATCAGCACTTAAAATTGCAATTAACAAATTCATTGGTGCCGGCGGGGATCGAACCCGGGTTGCTCGAGTACTGTGAAGCTTACAGCGAGCGCTAACCATCTGAGCTATCACGGCTCAAAAGAGAAAATCGCTTGAAATCAAAAAACATCCTAATTTCAATAGAGAAGATGGCTGGGTGCTACCATCTGCTTGGGATCCCATAATTAATAAAATGAAATCCTAACCGAAGTATACAACCGCAAGACTTCAAGATACTGATGTAAAGAATCGACGCTCCGGGAAGTCGGTTTTTTACGTGGTAGAGCCATGCTGCAGCTATATTAGAAGTATAGTTGTAGCACGAATGGGTCGGCTCGACCGAGAAAGGACCACGCTCTCACAGAAAACCAGCGTAAAATAGTAGCTTAACGCTGTTGTGTTTCGTATGGTGAGTGTAGAGAACCGGAGACCCTTTTTACTGGCAAAGAGGCATTCCATCTTAGTCCTCACGGGTGAAAACGCATTTGCATCTTGAGTATTTATTGGGGATAGATGTAGATGTCTATGGGTCACAGTAACCACTTACCATCAGGTGGACTGTGTGCTCGTTTGTCACCCTATCCTATAAAAAAATACTGTAAGTTCATACTGCGTAAATCGGAACAAAACTCGTCTAGATTAAAAATTAATAATTTTTATTCTGGAGGTAGCCGTGGTTAACTATGACATTAGGATGTCACGGGCTGTAAAGTGCTCAAAATGTCGGGAATATAAAATAAGTTAATATATGCGATAAAATCCGTAAAATTAGTTTAATTTAAATGTTCAACGTACATTTATTTGAAGATACTAATGTGCTAGGTTTTGCCTTGCAATGGTCCCAAAAACTCTACATCTAGATGCAACCATGGCTCTGTGACATGTGGCCATGGCTGTGATAGCTAAATTTATTACATAGTTCTAGAAAAATCTCTGCGTTCAAATATAATTAAATATATTTGACACTAGATGGCGACACTTTGTGTCATGTGAACTAAAGATATAAGTGTACTCAGAGCTCAGTATTGTTAAAATAATAATACGAAGGTGCTGAAATTTGTATTGCATTCAGTCCTAAAGAATTTTTAATCGCC